AATCCTTTGACTGGGTGGATCACAAGAAACTATAGCAGGTCCTTAAAGAGATGGGAGTACCAGACCACCTCACATGTCTCTTGAGAAACCTGTATAAGGGTCAAGAAGCGACAGTTAGAACCGGATATGGAACAACTGATTGGCTTCGCCTAGGAAATGGAGTACGACGTATATTGTCACCTTGCTTATTTAATATATATGCAGAGTACATCATACGAGATGCTGGCCTGGATGAATCGCAAGCGGGAATTAAGATTGCTGGGGAAAAGATCAACAACCTCAGATATGCTGATGATACCACTCTAATGGCAGAAAGTGAAGAGGACCTAAAGAGCCTCTTGCTCAGAGTAAAAGAGGAGAGTGCAAAAGTGGGCTTGAAGCTCAACATAAAAAAAACTAAGATCATGGCATCCGGCCCTATCACTCCTTGGTTAATAGAAGGAGAAGTTGTGGAAGTAGTGACAGACTTCACGTTCCTGGGATCCCAGATCACCGCAGACAGTGACAGCAGCCATGAAATTAAAAGACGCCTGCTCCTTGGGAGGAAAGCGATGGCAAACCTAAACAGCATGAAAAAAAGTAGAGACATCACCCAGCCAACAAAAGTCCGCATGGTCAAAGTAATGTTATTCCCAGTAGTCATGTATGGCTGTGAGAGTTGGACTATAAGGAAGGCCGAGCGCCGAAGAATAGATTCTTTTGAACTGTGGTGCTGGAGAAGACTCTTGAGAGTCCCTTGGACTGCAAGAAGATCAAATCAGTCAATCTTAAAAGTAATCAACCCTGACTGTTCCCTGGAAGGCCAGATAATGAAACTGAAGCTCAAATACTTTGGCTGCCAAATGAAAAGGGAGCATTCACTGGAGAAGACCCTGATGCTGGGAAAGATTGAAGGTCAAAGAAGACGGGGATGGCAAAGGATGAGATGGTTAGACAGTGTCATAGATGCAACGAACATGAAATTGAGCAAACTTCAGAGGATGGTGGAAGACAGGAAGGCCTGGCGTGATCTGGTCCATGGGGTTGCGAAGAGTCGGACTCGACTGTGCGACTGAACAACAACAACAAGGTTGGCACCTCCAGAAGGCTCTGCTCAGATTAGCGAAGCTGTTGTGGTGGAGTATAGGGGGAAAGATGGTCTCACAGATATGAAGGTCCAAGGTCATGAAGGGCTTTTTATATGATAGCCAGTACTTTAAGCTGAGCTCAGCAATTGATGGGTAGCCAGTGG